TTGAAAGTGAAGTTGCACATGCTATATGTTCAAATCGAACAGAGCGAAATGCGGGTACTAATCACCATTACCATCGATTTTGTGGCTCCCGAAACGCTGCTTAATCAAAGAGATAAAAGCAGGAGGTACAATGTGTCCGATCCAAGTAATCCAAATGTAATCCAATGTAATTAATGCACACACTGTTCTATATTGGTTGTTGATCGGATGGCTGTTGATCTGTTCGCCGAGCTTGGCAATTGGCTTGCAAACGTTTCGCCACCATACGAGGAGACAATCAGTGCGCAGTTGGGTGGCTACTTCCTCCCTGCCTGCGTGTGCTTATATAGCAGTCGAAGGCCATCTGTTATCTTCTGACGTAATTGGCTACCTGAAGCGTAACGAGTCTAGTGAATCTATTGGTTTGTTTGTGATCCTTGTTGCGTTGTGGTCTGTGTTCCTTTATGTTGATTGGTTATCCCAACAGCTTGTAATTTTAGTAGCTTGTTCTCTCTGGACTTGATTCGCATTGCGTTGTGGTCTGCCGTTCTCGAGTTTGATTGGTTGCTTGTACCGCCCTATTTCTTCCACCGTGTCGGTTAGTGTTTCTGCACCCCCCGGTTGATTTGGTGCTTTGATCGGGCGCCTCCTCCAATCCAATTGATGTGTCCGTTTGAATAACGCTTTCTTGTTCCTTGTATGAGTTCACCGTATGGTCGCTTTTGCAGCTCTAAGTTCTGTGATTCTGGCGTTCTCTCGCTCTTAGTGGCTGGCAAATGGGATCAGTTTCGATGTGTTTGTTGATGGCTTCTTCGCGTCTCCATAAATTCGCGTTCTCGTTTTGTTCTTGCTCGAGCCAGTATGCGAACGCCGTTCCAGTCGAACTCGTGTCCTTCTTGGTCTTTGTGTGCGGAGATGAGGGAGCATTGATCGTGTATTTTAGTGGCAAGTTTGTGTTCATGTATTCTGGTGGAGAGCTTCCTTCCTGTTTGTCCTACGTACCGTTTATCGCAGTCCTTGCATTGGATCCTGTATATGACATTGTTCTTCGCCATTGGATCTAACTTCCCCTTTGGTCTTGATAGTGTTCTCCGCAGAGTATTCGCTGGCTTGTAGGTGACCATTGTATTGTGCTGTCGTAGGAGCCTTGCAGTCATTTCAGCGGTGTTCTTGATGTACGGAAGTGTGACTCGTTTGCTTGCAGTTTGTCCTGTTGCCTCGATCGTATTTGGCTTCCTGAGTGTTCTCCAGATGAAATTCATCGGGTATTCATTTTTCTGAAACAATTTGTATAGGCGCTTTTCTTCTTTGATCTTGGATTCTGTTGTACTGCAGTGTGTCTCGATCCACATTACCAACTGTTCCATATGCTATGTTATGTACTTAATTTTTTTTAAATGAAGGTGAAACTGAACACATTACTGGTGCTATTTTTCTGATATTTGGATGCATTTGCAGAACCTACAGAAATTAGGCTTCACTGTATACCCTCATTCTCTGACGAGAAATTTGCGAAAATCCTCAGTATGTTCAGAATAAAATGTTCACATGGCGAGTAAAAGATCCATTGCTAGAGTCGTCCTCCAAAGAGCCAATCATAGTGGTAATCAGGGGCATCCCGTGGTTGAGGGATGAGTAGCTCTTTCAACGCGAGCTAATCACACTGCTGATTAGCCGATCGTGGTCAAATGGTTGTGTTCCAGCGAGTGCGGGATGGTTTGCGGGTCAGAAGCCCCTGGGGTTTGTTGAAGGGCGTGCTGCTGGGGATTCTCAATAAAAACAAAGCAGCCGTACATTGTTTCTAAGCTTTTTAGCAACACAAGACAAAATCTCAGCTGCAAATTTCCAAACTTCTCACATTATCAACACAACGGAATTGAGCCACATATTTTGAAAACGTCCAGTAAAATTGAATGTAGCAGCCAAGCATCATTTCACGTAACAGACAAATCAAGCGTTATGCGAGGCGGCTTCCATGCTGCTGTTTGCTTATACGCTGCTCTTTTTCGATACCGAAGAATATTTTGCCAACTCTTCACCCCTTTTTACACTGATTCATTTTCATTGAATATATGGCCACTCAACTTATAGCGCTTTATAGCTCAATAGTTCCAGTTGTTTTGAATACGGTTTTGTCCCAAAACGGAATCACACAATTCTTCGACTTGCTTAGCCTTCCATGGTACAGCATCCTGTACGTCATTTCATGTGAAATACTTCGAATACACTTCCACCCGCTAGGTTTTTTTCAGTTTGACAGTTTGTGATTCCTATCCTACACCGTAGGAAGGTCATTTTTTCAATAATAATATGGCCCGTTTTCTGCCACTTGTAATCATTTCTGATCTTTTTTGTTCCATCCAGTTAACTGGTCATACTGCTTTGTAATTATCTAAACTTAATACAAGACGGTAACTTTTTCTACCTGACTCCAGATTGTTGTGTTATAGCTAGGCGGTAAAGCGATGTAAGCGTTGATAGTTGATCAGGTGGCCGTTGATCTGTTCACTGAATTTGGTAAAGATGGTGTGGAATACGATACTCCAATGATACAGAAGTGTGGTTCTTAGGTGCATAGACGATAGCTCTCCCGAGTAAATTAAAAACAATCAAGGCAGTTGCTCGTATGCAGCTCTGGCTGCACTTGGTTAGATCAGGTTAGATTTAGGGTATCATGTTATGCATGGCTTTAATGCTCGACGTACACTGAACAAGCGAAGGATGTTGTGTTTTACCATTAAATTTTTCTTAGGTCCACCAGTTTGCCCGAGTCTATGATTTGTGAAGTGTGGAATTTCCTAACCGAGATGTTGTGCTTATTTAAGCTTCCGTTGCACATACGGAGCCCAGTAGGAAGCATAGCAAGCGAAAGTATGTAGCTCTTCAATTCTGCTCGCATCAGTCACTCACAAGCTCTGTTACCTAAAGTTTCAACAAACTTGAAAAAATTCCTCACTTATCAGTCTCACACACATTAATATCACAGCAAAAACCACAAGTAAATTACGCAGATATTAAACGATTTCTCAGATTAAACAAACCACTGACAATCCTTTCAGAGTAAATTTTTTCCTAGCCTATGAGCTTGATTGATCTACAACTTTCAAAGAAACAGAAGCCAGCAACAACTGGGACATCGTTTGGTGCTAAATTAGCCTGCATTTCTGTCTAACTTATGGCATGATAGGGCTTCACTATTAAATGGTGCATTTGCTAAAATCGACTAACCTGCTTACTCCAGTTGCGGTGAGCTCACTTGTAGCATTTGCGCTTCTTCTTTGATATCAAGGTTACCTTATGTTGACAGCTGCGTAACTGCGTTATTCGGTTACGTATGACGAACTCAGTGTGTCTGGATTCATACGTGCAACTATCGATCAAATGTCAGCCTACTAGTAGCATTCAAACATTTCGAGTCAAACGGTCCAACCGGGTCGGTAATCTGCACTCTGATGAGCCGATTTGCTATTTGTTTCAACCAACCCCTGACTGGCCAAATAACTTAAAGGTGGATAGATAACCAGCACGAAAAGAGGAAATTTAAAACACTGATATCTCAGTTTCCAGATATGTAGAATCCACATTCTCATGGTACAATAATGTGATTGACTGGCGAGGGCATTTTTTGTGCAATTAAATCGAAGTTGATTTGTTCTATAGCGTAGTGACGGTTTGGGACACGCGTTATTATATACTTCTACACCTTGTTGGTTGATGGAATATTTTCCAGATAACAATTTTCATATTTCTGTACTAGTATCGTGATGAGCTGCTTTCTTCATGCATCTGAACAGGCAGCATATGCATGCTGTTGCACTCTTTTCGGAAAGACTTTCGTTTCTTTTCAAAACCCAAATGTATGGTGTTTATCTTCTCTGACCTTCTCATAACCATGATGCGCAAAGTCGAGGAAAACCACGCACGCCGTTCTTTTATATGATGCGTTGTCCCGGAGCGTGTCATCGTGAGACAACGATGAAGAAAATATTGGTGACAGGAAAACGCTATATGTTCACTCCAGTAAACGAGATACAGAACGCGGTCACCGTCATTTGGCTAGAACTCGAAATTTCATCGGCTTCCATCGGACGTTTTCATTTTTGGATGTAGAAAATCAGGTTTACCAAGGACCGTTTCCAGTTACTTCCCACTGGGTGATTTGGTTGCAAACGTTTCATCCCTATGCAGGGTTTTATCATCAGTGCGCTGTCAACCACAGAGTTGTGTGGCTGGAAATGCCACGAGCTTTTACACTCCGCGCTATTTCATTATTACTAGCATCAGAACAAGGACACCATCGTGAGAAATGGAGGGGATTTAATTGGTGATTCAGAAGAGCGTCATTGGTTTCAAGTACCTGTTCGAATGGCAAATATAAGAGGGTTTACGTAAGAGAGTCGCTTTGTATGTTTCCAGCATTCAATAGCGAAGAGCCCTTGGCCGATCTTGATAGTTTATTCCGAACGACCCAGCAAGATTGTTGCTATGATGTAGGAGAATATTGTATATATATATATATATATATATATGTACTTTCGAAGTGCTTTTGCCAGTAGCTCCATTATGAAAAGTTTATGATGTTACCCAAGATGCAAGAATTACCTGTGGTTCACAGCCATCGACCACCTACGTAACGTCAGTAGTCCAACGAACTGAAATTGGTTACGATTAGATATGGGTTACTTAGAAACACCGCGCTGTTTTCTGCGCCACGAATTCGCGTTTCTAAACCTGAGGATTAGGTTACGGCTAGTTCTAAGGAATGAAAGTAATTGACAGAGTATTATTTTGTAGTCAGTAATTTTCATATACCGGTTGCTATCTTACCTCATTATGGTGACTGATGTATAGGACCTTCTCAATGCTACCAAGGTTAAAGATATTCATATGGGAAACTCCAAGCAATTTGATTGGCAACAGAGCATGTCAGATAGCATGGACTATCAAGATTAGAGATTATGTCACAGTATATTTCGAAAAATGAGTGCATAGTATGATATGGCAGAAGAGCATTCACTCACAGTGGATTGCGATCCGAATGATTCAGCCGTGGAGCCCCCATCCTCCAACTTAGTGGATTGAGGTTTCATAACAGCGGCTGCGGTAGGAGTGAAGACCGTGTGATCAGGATGAGAAGACGGTATCTCGTGAAATCCATTCATTTTTGTCGATCCCGACTCACCTAAAGACCTCTCGCAAGGAAGATAACATTGTGGCTTTCCGTCTTGTACGGTATAATCCGTTAAGCTTTATTAAATAGAAACAGAGGTGGAAACGTGACACTCATCAGCTACTTGACGAAGTGGTGAAAGTAGTAAATTCACTTTTACGGAGGACAGATGTTCGTAATTCTGAATCAACAGAGGATGAGACTCGTACAATAGGACAGAAAATTATTTCACGTCCGTCCGTATTTGTCTTTATTATAAGGGACCGCCGTTCACCTAATGTTGGGTATGCATTCACTAGATAGTAAGTACATGGAATGAAGAATGGTCCTGGTCAAATACTGCTGTGTTGCTTCCAAGGGTGTAATTTCCTGCAGTCAATAATAATAAGGTGTATTGCGTTGAAGTTGCACAAGAGCCACCTCTTCAGAACTTCGGTCGCAAATCTTCCGCAAATGCAAATTACTGCTAATTCTGTTAGTAGTAGTCAGACGAAGACAAGACCACCAGTAGGCCTATCTCTGGACAATCGCAGTGGACCATCTGATCAGAATTTGCCGCGAAATTGAATAACTACCATTGGGGCTTTGCCCTAGCAAGATCTACATATCACTGTCTACTACAAGATCCACATATTATATGCTTGTGCATTCGGGCGATGTTATTTTCCAACTCTGTTAGGGGCAAACTATGCTACTTTCCAACGGCTAGTTAGATAAAATTTTTGTGGGACCACAACCCACATTTCTGAAGTAAAACACAATCGGATGTACGGTCACTGTGATTGGGGAAACCTCCCAAATGCTTTTGTGGTAACAACTGACACACCTTCTCACCCCACTAAACAGTCTACATAGAAATTTACAGTCTCCGTTTGAGAGTAGTTCACATTTGTGACCTTGGTTTGCAGCGGTTATACAAATTATTCACACGCAAGACACAAAAGATCACGATTTGACAAATATTTGGACGAACTAGTAACTCGAAATCAATCGTGTGCGACAAACCAGGGTGCCCTTGAGAGTGCTTCATTATTTTTCAAAGCCGTTGATCAAAATCCTTACAGCAGCACAGCCCACGTGACCACTTTTTGTTTATCACAAACCTCTCGCATGCTCACGACTAATATGCACAACAATCTAGCACCTGTGGATATTTTCCGTATTGACTTTGGCAGTACGTTTGATAGCGTTTTGCAGTACCAGGCGGCTTTGGAACCTGTTGTGACGAAATGTGATGGAAATCGACTGTTTTTGACAAAGGCCCACCAGATTGCTTAAGGAAATTACTGCTCATCAACGTCTCTGAGGCCTTTCGAAGAAGGGTCCTAGATAAAACAAAGAGCGGATAATAAACTTTTGACTGCTTGTGCAGAGCCTTGATGGGTGTGCCGCATTTACAGCCCATGTTACCAAGTGTGAAACTCACCAAACATGTTTCTCAGGGGAGGCTGTCGAGCTAAAGCGTACCGGAGTTTAAGGGCTCTGAAAAATAAGGATAACTACCACCCGATTGGTCGGATGTGTTAGTTCCCTCCACTATTGACTGTATTCGGACATTTCCCCAGATGCTCTCAGAAGAACCAACTGATTGGATTTTTTCACTTGCTAGTTCGGGTCATTGCAGGGGCCAGAATCGGTTGAGTGCTCAGCTTTTTTCAACTGGCCTTGAACATGTTGCCATTGTACCGAAGAATAACCGTATCAAGTCCTTTGTCTACACAGAGAAGTTTATTAAATGTGTAAAGATCATTTGCTTTGATGGGTCTCCGTTAGTTCGAAACGCCAACTGCTGGCTTTTGTTCGACATACCGGTATACCTTATGCCAATTTCCAGGTAAAGGATAGACTCAAATTATGAATGCAACAAGTTAAGTCTCCAAAATTCATAGACCTAGCTGAATTCCACCTGAAAGGCGTTTCTACAAATAGCTGACGACGTCGCTAATTTAACCTTTTTAGATAAACAGTTGTCCTTGCGTAGCCACCCATTCGTAGCTCATTTGTTCAATCACAGCTGGATGTTTGTCCAGCAAAGCAGATTTTTGACAAGATACTTGTTAACCTTGAAGTTCTTTAAAACGCCTTGAAATTTCTTGCTCTATAAATATCTTAGTTGGCATGTTACCGTAGGTCATGCAAGAGAAACATGGCTATTTGTGAATGACTCGCTGGAGTTCACATTCTTGAGGTTTCTTTGGGAAGGTTCATTCGGGGGACTTTCTTTCAAAAGATATTTTCTCCAAAATAGTAACTGCGTGGAGGATTCATTTTAAGCCAATTGTTAGGGGAAGTGTTCGGCGGGCATTCTTTCTGTTACAGGGAAACACCGGACATCAAATGGGCGATCAGCACCCACTTTTCCAACATACAACAAAAATGAAACCGACGAAACACTTCAGAATTTTAGGCTCCTGTTAGGGGTTTTGTGGAGACTTCTGATCCTCCTGGGTGGACTTGCACCGTTTTATTTCTTCGACTCGACAATCGAGTATAATTCCTGATTCGGCGTAACACTCCTCCGGCTTAAAAAATTCCACGAGTTCGCCTAAAATTTCAGCGAGAACGAGCCGTTCGTCCCTTTCCAGAATTGTGGATTCAAATCAAAAGACCCCCGAGGGACAGTTGCACACGCCGTTACCCACTTAATATTAAAGAACACAGCTTTTATCATGACAGCCTCATGAGTGCCGAAATCTGGGATTAACAGTCAACTGAATAGGAGGCCTATTCTTGCCAAAAACACCTGAGAGCTAGCTCATTCTTGCAGGCAGTATACATCACTTAACAAAATTATTCTACTTAAAAAAAGGGTGTGTGACTTATCTCTGTCTTCCAGTGTACTCGCACGTACAATGCTGTAAAATATGCAGCCGCCTACTGAAATTACAGACATTTACAAACCGGCTACGCAAGTAAGTGGTGATATAGAATGCCTCTCATAGTGGGTCAGATTTATTCTTGTGTCCTATAGGGCCATGCAATTCAAGGTGTCCACGGAAGATAGTGGATATACCACAGTAGTCCTAAAACTACTAACTTAATCTTCACCACATTGTAGGAAAAACAGTTACGTTGTGAAAGCACCCGGAAATCCAGCCGACTGTTGAGCGGAGCGGAGCTGGTTGGCTTTCTGAAAGTTTGTCAACTTCCCCAAGGCCTTTTTTCGCAATGTGACGGAAACGAAGTTAAAAATCAGTCACGGGTGGAACAGTACTAATATCCTGATCCAGTCATCATTAGCCCGTGTCTAACACACGTCTGCGTAATGGTAGTATCACAAATCAATACTGATCGCGCAACGACTCGTTCAACTCGGCACCTGTTTTGGGTACAACACTGGGGTATAACTTCCGTGATCGTTCACCGCTGTTATGCATTTATATTCCATTTCCCCTTCCTAAAGAGATACCGTAAAAGCAGGGAAATCGCCAGTATGATTGAGCCAACACAAGTACTGCAATGCCCAGGGCAATGTGTATGATTACGTTTCACATCCTCCAACGGCGACATGCTTGTGGACTAACTTACTGGGTTCCCAGAGATTTTCTAGGACAAGTGTAAACGAGACATGTTAACCACTCAAGCATTATTGACTTCATATGTGGCCACAGGTGATGATATTTGAAATATTTCAAAAACTTGACAAAAATGTTCTATTTAAGTCAGCATCTAATGCTTCTTTTCGGATGGTTTTATGCCACTGGTGTGGGTTAGTGGCTGGCAACTCAAGCTAACTTGAAACCACCCATTTTAAGCGAAGGTTTACGGGAGATAGATATGGATTGAACTGTTTAGTGACCCTACTCATGTATGACAAGCAACATCGTCGTTATTCAAAACCCTCCAGATCAGCTGAGTAGGATGATTAATAAACGCAATCCAAATTAGAAACGGAGTGTTAACCGACCAAGGGGCGAGGAAACGCGGAAACTCGGTATCACGATACAGCCAACTGAGCACCAATAGGGTTTGAATTAGGTTTGAACTCAGTGAAGACCGGACTTATTTCTGATGCAATTAAATTTGCAAAATTTTATTTTCAATGTTTTTGAATCATTGCCCACTTGAAATACTGAATTATAATAACTATCTATGAAGACATGGGAAGATCAAAGACACCACATAATTCAATGCACCGAAACAGTCTGACAATACAATAAGAACTAAACTTTCAAGTTCCAATGTTTTGGAAACCGCTGAAAACGTGTTTTAATTAATGACATTGTTGTCATCAACCTATTTTACCCGCTTAAAATTTACAAACATCGATTGAGGTTAATACGTTTCATAGTTACATCATTGTAAGCCGTTCCATATTGGTGTTATCCCACCTTGGACTATAAAAATCCGGTACATTTGAGACCATATATTCGATGCTATCTAAGAAGAACGTTATTGGAAAAATTTATATAGTAGCGCACTCTCAAAGTTGTGCGTACAACCAACTATTCCGTATGAGAAATATTTACCCTCCAACGATTCGGATATTAAAGATGGTCATTCTCATCCGTGTCAACCTACTTACTATTATCAAAGTAGTAAAGCGTTTAGGCAACTCGCTTTATACTAGCCTACTACTATTTTTCTACTGCAATATTTTCGTACGTTTCACGCTTACTTCAGATTGGAACATCAAAATCGTGGCCTAATAAAAAAATCGAACATGACCTTTTTTAGGCCAGGGGAAACCAGTCGGTGAAGTGTCCCTTTGAATTCAGTATTTGAGGACAATAATCCGTACACCAGAGGCAAATACAGTGTTGCTACGGTCACTAGACGACCCTTCTTTCTGTTATGCTACTTCTTAGTCCACCGAGGATAAAAAGGAGTCATTGCACCAGAGGAGCTCGACAGCCACCACAAAGTAGTAGCTTCAAGTCGGGAAGTAGAAAGAATATCCATACGCATATATTTCATGCCTGACCTCTAGCACTTAACACAATTCTTTCGCCGTTTTAAACATTAGAAATCCTGCAATAGAAATATTACATCATTTTTTCAATAAACAACAGGAAATTTGGCACATCGCGAAGCGGAATGTGGTTAGTGAAACATTCTCTACCATATATCATCCTCTGATGTATAGACTAGATTTTTTCTAAACACTGGATCACGTGTACAGCCTGATTAGGCATATTTAGTGGGAGTCTGAAGACTCGAAATCATTGTGCAACAATTTCCTGGAGTTTTAGAAACATGTGCTCAAATCATTCGAATTACTCCGCGTGGGTTAATCAACCTTTGATGCATGTTTACAGAAATACCAGCATTACTGAAAATTCTCTGAGGCTCAATTAATGCCCGTCGTTTAATGCACGTATTCACGAGTCGTCTTATCATGATTCATATAGTTGGTGCAACCACCTCAGTGATCTCAGTTAGCACCCTCCACTGGTTTGTGAACTATGATTTTGAAGAAAAAAACAGACGAATCCGCTACACAGACAATTACTGTGCTGTTGCTCACTTAAATCCTAATAAACCTTTCGTTTTCCATCTTATACCCAGAAGTGCTTTCATAACAAACGTGACGGGTGCGTCGTGCCGTAATATGCAGCACAAGGTGATTATTCTATGAAGTGTTTTGTATCACACCTCGAAACTGAGTTAGTTGCTAACTTCTTATTACGTTGGATTTGTTGAACTGTACTTCTTTGAATCTCTACTATTGACTCGGCCTCAAAGAAGGAGGAAATTGTCCAGAGTGGAATAGCTGACTACTTTGAGGTCATCGGCAACCGTCCTGTTTTCTACCCTATGGGACATCCTTGGCGTGAAATGCTGGTTGCCTGCCAAGCTTGTGCTTGACAGTATGTAAGGGATCCAAATGGCTTTATACCGAACGGTCAATAGTTGAGATCATCCACATATATAATGGACCTGAAATAAGTACGGATATAATATCACGCGGAAGTTGAACAATCACAAAACAACAAAATCTGTCTGGAAGATGGGCCCTGCTGATGTTTCCCGCTCCATTTAATAACGTCAGTAATCAAATCAATTTCTTAAAATCTGGGTGATCAGAGCGCCCACAGATCAGTGATGATATGTGTATAGGGAAGCCTCAGTTTACTCACTCAACGAAAAGTCACTCAAAAAAGAATGCCACTAAAGGGTTTGAATGGCTCGTGTATTGCAAAGAACATCACTGTATCTTCAAAGCTCTTTCCAAATATGCAGTACTGCATAGAGCATTTAGCGATCGCTAAATGACATGGTATAGGAATAACAACCAGTCCTCGTAGCAATTTACCACACGTGATTTTTTTATTTTTAATGTGCGGTCTCCAACAACACAAACTCAACCAGCCATCAAAACACATCGCTGTTGGCATCAGTGACAGCCGAATAATCTTTGACTACTGGAGACAACAGTTCTTTGCATGTGTTATTCAATGTGCTATAATTCACTTCTGAAAACGAGTGCCAAGTAAGAGTAAATGACAAATAGCCAATTTCTTAACAACACCAGACCAGCACAAGTGAGTTACATAACATTCTTTAGGAAACATGACGGGGTAATAAGGCTTGCAAAAATGTTTTAGCTATTCTTTTTTATGTAGCAGTTTTATTGCAATTAAACCCGTGGAACAAACGAAACAGTGCAAATGCTTGGTTCTGAAAGTCTGTCCAATGAAAGAATTGTCCCACGAATTTGTACATAAATGGATTTTTCATTGGTCACTGAAGTAATATTCACCAACTGCAGCTTCGTAGCATCCCACTTAAGAAAACATATATGATTTTAATGAGACTGCCCATTTGAGCATTCTCTACGGCAAATTTTACAGTATCAGCAATGAACAAGTTGATAAATGTCAAAACTCACTTTAGTAACCTTCTGCATATATGACACCGGAAACAATTCCTGTGAAATATGCCATTGAGAACCTCAATTATATCGCCATCGTCTGCAACCCTTCCACAACCGAAACACCGTTGATATTGTTCGTAATGTAATTGGTCGCCGGACTGAAACGAACCAAGATTAAAGTTAAGTCATCACCAAGCCTATATTCTACATATGATGTATTCCGCTGTCAATGGGAGTGTTGGTCAGTGAAGCCAGGCTGTGTAGCCGTACTCCTTTATACCATACACAGAGCTTGAGTATCTGCAGTAAGTATGTGAAAATGTAGAAACACCTTCTGGACGAATGCGAAGCTGGAGCAGACAGATATGATTGGCATACTTCTTTGTGTTTCCTGCTAGCGCGACACTTACTCTGTGTGAGGTATCTTAGATGCCGCTTTGACTATTGAACAGTCATCGATTGCAACGAGCGGTATCAGTGCGGAAGTTTTCTGGAAACATCGTACGAAAACTATTCCTTCTTCGTACTTGTCTTCTCGATTTTTCTTGGTGGCCCGTATTCCGTTAGGTCTCGGACGACCTCGGGTTACTACTTCTCTATGGCACTTAATGGATATCACTGGTCAACGTGAATGAGCTTCGTTTTCTTCACTGGTTCGATAGTTTTACTTTTAAAAATAGGTGTGCGTTGTGGTATATATATCTGCCGGTATATATCTGGTATACCTGGCGGTGATCGTAATAAATTTTAGGATCACCAAACACTGAACGGGTTGTCTATGTAAGACTAATTTGTACCTATTTCCATTATTATGTCCTATTTAATCAACGTAGATGCTCCAAATCATAGGAAAAATTTTCCCTCATCCATTGACCAGGTACGTTGCCACCATTTCCGAATACGATTGTGAAATCATTGCTAGGTAGCATCAGACGGTTTCTCATTTTCGATATATGCCATGCATCGGCCTGATCCGCCTTTTTTAATGATTGGGATTTGTTGACCGATTGTAGGCGTAAATTTGATTGACAATCCCCCGGGCCTTTTGTGCAACATGTCAGTTCAACGGGAACGCTGGGTAAATGACGACAAAGCCCATCGGATTAAGTTTCAGAAATGTGTGCACTGCATGAGAGGGTGAGCATCTGCTTGCTGTGTCAGAGCACCTCCCAAAATGGTGATTCCATATATGTTCAGAAAAGTTTCACCTAGAATCCAGCTAAATCTTTCGTTAGTAGTGTTTCCATATTTGTATGCGAGTGAGTGTAATTCGCTAATTTCGTGCAATTTGGTTTCAGGTAGAACATAAGGTTGACGGAAAATCGGGAATTGCGACCATTTGATGAGCCCCAGGAAAGGCAGAAGCGGTCATGGGCTGTCAAAGCTGTTTTCCTATTTCAATCCCCCGTCATATGCAGTCCTCTCATGGTTTTCTGGTTGGGTAATCAGTCGTTCACATTGGAATCAGCCTTGCAGACGCAGATCCGGCATTCTGAGGAGGGTGTTTATTTAGTGTTCTACATAATCCATGTTTTTTCTTGTTTGTATATCGTTACTTGCCTGTTGTACGACTTCATACTTAGTTATCTTGCTGCCTAGAACATGTCCGATGCATCGTATAGACAAAATACACTATACGTAAGGTTGCTGAAAACACTTCGGCAGCCAACGACCGGTTTCGCCCATCATGAGGCACATCATGTAGGCGCCGTCCCCGAGGTTGCATCAACCATATGTTCTATATGGACCAAATAAGCGAAATACCAGTTAGCGACATATCAATCTGGTCCTGACGAGAGACTTATCTGGAACCCAGCTGAATCCCTCGTTTATGATGTTTTCAAGCAACTGAGTGTGCTGCACCAGTCCGCTTCGTGTTCAAGTTAGCACGATATTCGGGATATCGCGATACGCTTTATATACATATTACGCTACTTTTAAGGTTGTTGAAACCGAACATGGGCGGCCGAAGCGTTTTCAGCAACCACCAGCTTATTTACTTATTTCTTTACATTCGTGCGGCCACCGCGTTTTTTCCGCCCTTTTTATCACATAGTGAACAGTTTTAAGATAGCATTTAAGATACATGGAGAATAACCCTCTTTCAAACACCCTACATCGGGAATCAATACATCCATCCATGCCTTTCAAATGATATAACCGGGAACTGTAATAAGCAGACGGAAAAACTGAGGTCTGAACCAAACGTTTCCACAGTAACGTATTATTCGCGTAATTTTCACTGTTGAAGCTCACATTTGATTGCACAGCAGTGGTTATGGTTCGCACTCATTCGATTTACACCTAGATCAGGAACGCCTAGGCTGAATTCCCCTCAGCCTATTTTCTTGACAAACTACAATTTCCGGAAAAACAGATGTCTGTATGTTGTCTACTAATTCGAATTCTCAACTGTGAGCACCGCCTCTAATCTGCAGCAAAGAAATCATGTATCAGGCTTGAAGAACATAATGTGAAAGGTTTTATTTGTTCCTGCGATGCTATTGGTTTTTCAGTAATGTATTTGAAACCAACGGTTCCTGTGCAAGCCGAAGCGACAGTGCCATAAGAATACCGCACGTACTGTGCGGGTTAAATTTGAGAGAGGTATGAGAAATCTTACTCGTACCGACTGCATGTCTGCAAAAGGTAGGCTTCTTAGATCATGGGGTCACAAAAAATTCAGCCACTCAGCAAATCGGATGTTTTATGTCGCTCTTCGGTTTGATAATTTGTGAATTTGCTTGGAAGCACACGCGATCGAAATCACACATGCGGATATGTTGCCTCGGGTTCCTTCATCAAATTTCTCCCTCGCCAAATTTCCAAAAAACGTTTTTGTTCTGCACTGTTCCATCGGGTCAATTCTAAATGTGCTTGCATGGTTCTAAAATCCTTGTGACAGTGATGGAGTAGAAAGGTGTTCGACTGTGTGGAGATGTCTTCGAAAAAGGGAAATGTGGCCCTATTTTACGACTGGTAATACGGTCGGGCTAGTGTGTGTCAAGTAAGTCGGCAAGAGCTACCTTCTGATAGTTGTTTACCACCGTGGTGATAAATGTGACCATATTAACAGCTATCTCGTCCACCTACTTGCGACACAGTCCGGGGAGAAAATGAAACTTCCATATTTGTGGAAGCACTTGAATTAAGCCTAAGAGTCAAGGAACCCCCATCCGTAGAGTGCAACGAGATTACGGAAACACGGTAAGAGTTCACATCTTCTAGAGCACCAGAATAAAAATGTCTACTAAATAATGGGCTGATCATACTTACGACTTCATTTCTACGCAAGGTTCTCGGCTATACCAAGGGAAAAGCACTACTGCAAGCTAAAAATCGTCCTTCGTACAAATGCACGAACATACACGGGGTGGATGTAACGGGTTCTTGTACATGGCATATTTCAGTCTTTCATGAAGTTCAGAATAAACTATTTTCAGTGCTCTGAATGACGTCTCAAATTCGCGACCAAAAAAACCCGTGTTTTGTTTTGATGAAATAGCATTTACTTATGAGGCGTGAAGGGACAACAAAAATAAACTTGCCTATGGAGTTTAATTCCGCATTTTCGGAAGTACAAGAAAACCTACTTTGAGTAGATTTAAGATTTATATAACTCGTTTCCACAAAACCATCATCTGTATGCTTAAACTTCCATTCTTATTCAAGTATTTCTAATGGCTCGCATTCGCCATTTTCACCCTTATTGATGCCTATCAGTTGGGCAACCAGTGAGCACCAGTGGAGTAATGGTAAGAAAGTCATTCTTACACACAGTCCTCATCATCGCAACCATCGAAATCAACGTCACTTTCACTACCGTACAACTGGAGCACGACCCGTGTCAGCAAAATTCGCCTTGTTGGCTGATTCCGATACTGGCCAGTTGGAAGCTATATGCTTACTCTGTTCGAGATTTCTGTAGTATAGTTTAAATACGGTTGACTAAATTACGGCTGAGTGTCCCTTTGCCAAGCATAAATGAACTTATCTAGGTGGGATTTGCTGACGTTAAGATAAATGTATTTGTGTGTACCGAGATATAGGCATCAGGGATCGGGTATATTCTTCGGGCCGAAAAGATCTACCGTAATGTAAAGCAAGGTGAGTTTTGAACGTGAAGGTTTCCAGAAGAATGTGCTATATCACGGTTAGCTGTTTCTCAATACAATTGCGGAGGAAATTAAGAAAATACTTCTCAGAAGTAGTGAGGTCGTTTTACGATCATCCAGGTTTTTCGTGCATCTCAAGGGAAACATACAAGGAAACCAGTCGCTCCGTGTAACGCGGGTAAGATACACATGGTATATGATTTGAAATCTACGAATCCCCTATCACCCATAGCAAAGTATATGTAACTTGTAAGGAGTAGTTCATGTGAATCAGCGATCTGAGAATTTGTCGGTTGAAAAGCTAGTCAACACATAAACAGGTGATGTGAATTCAATGACTGGCAGACCAGTGGTGTTATATATTGTCTAAGTACGATTTAATCACACTTGTGATACACCATTCATGATAAAACGTTTCAGTCTCCAGCTGCTGGCCAGGAGTTCAGGACTTTGAACCTCCCCAGAATTTCTTGAGATGCGCAGATCTGACTAGTTCAGCTAACGAAAAAACTAGCATACAGTGCCTCTTGGATTTTCAGTATAAATATATGCAATACAAAATTGTGATTGAAAACATTGCAAGAGACAGTTCCCCACTGAATCCGAAAATTTCTCCATTCTGGGTATTTACAGTTTCAAGAAAAAGCATCCATAAAGAACCAGAAAACATTCTGCAAGTATGAGGATAAAATAAAAGGCACTAGATCACCGTAGCTTAACATTTACCAAGTGACCGAAGGCAGTTCTTTAAAAATATGAAATGTTATTTAGCTCACCGTACATTACAGTCATTCGGAATGACGTGTTAATTGTGGTGACATGAACTTGGACCCATATTTGGATGACTTAATAACCCGAACGGAGGAGTCATTCGGACATTGCACGGAGGCAAAGAGGTCGGAAAGCTGCAGTTGAAACCACGCGGCCTTTTTACCAGGGTACGACCGTAATTTATCTTTATTCCCTGTTAAAACAATGTTCTTACTGACTTCAGCGAGAGGCTTGAGCGATTTCTGTTAACTCAAGCCATGAGGAGGTAATCAGTATCGGATGATACAAAATCAGCCATGGTAATGTCATTGCCTATTTAATGTGACAGTATGCTAAAGGAAAGCTGTACACAAATCAGACTACGGCTATTCATTCCGGGGATTAAAGGCGTTTTCGGACGTTGGATATTTTAATTAGGTTCCAGTAGCATTTCTTTAGATACGATTCGCAAAAACGTCTTAGCAAATCAAACATTGAACTCCATAAACCTCCTGTCTACTGTAGATAATATGAAGAACAACCTGTTCTGTTGCAATACATATCGTCACCAACTCCAGCGAAATTCTTCAGGATAACGAGGAACATTTGACTTTACAGTGAACTAAAAGCCCCTCGCTACAGACCCAAAGACTGAAAGGAAATAGGAGTGGTTATTCACAAGTGAAGAAATCTACTTCATTTTTTGGAAACAACGAAAGTAACAGAGTTCGTTGGTAAAATTTCCTAGGCGAAACTAATATACAGCCAATAAGATTTTAAAATCATCAGTACTTGAAAAACCAAACACAGATAGATATCAGGAGACACAAGGAGAGCTGAAGTGACAAAGTCAATGTGTCCCAGTATCTTATATCCCAACATCTCAGCATCAAATGTGTTAGGAATATAGTCTTGCTGATGACATAGACCGTCAGTCTGCCTCCTATAAAAAGATGAATAACCCTTTAATTCACTCCTCGACTTCGTTGGATCGTTTTACGAGATACTGTGTAGTACAAATTCTCTCGTAGTTTGTCCTTCGATATCGAAGGAACGATACCAACAAAACATTGCTAATTTTTAACGTTTCCAAATGCACATCTGCATGGTGATGACGGGTCATTGTGAGGGCCTGTGTTCGTATGCCCTTTATTCCGTCAGACCGCTCGTGCAGTTTGTGGACATGATAATAGAATGGAATAAAATAACTGTCTCACGCAATAGGATCACACTGTCCACATCTGGAAATCTTCGTTCCATCAAGACAGAAGCCACTGAACCATTAAATAGTCGTGGACTTCGTAACGGATCTCGAAATCATGAAGACATTTCTGAAATATTCAACCACTTCTTCATTGCATGTTTTGAAGTCAGCGGCGAATACTACGGACATTTAGTGGTAGCCCAAAGATATCACTGAGATGTTGATGCAAGAACTGAAAATGGTAGCATTACCGGATTCCCATCCTAAAGTATACATTCATTCCTCGTTCAGTTTTGACACCGTTATGGTATAGGGTCGTCATGCCTCCCGGAGACTGCCAGTTTCCCTAAACCCAGACAGGATCACTAGAGATGCAGGTAGAAGAGTGAAACCAAAGACGACTTGGTCAGTAACTTCACTCCTTAATCAGTGAGTTGTTTCGCGATCGATCCGTTAGATGAACGATGGTTTCGTTAATTTCAAAGTTTATGAGAGCGGAAGATGCTCCTGTTAGTAGAATGTCAAGTGGACGAGTGCAAACGGGTTCTACAGAGAGGCTACGCGCATGGGCCAGATTCCGAACTACCACAAACAGTGCTTCTTTTGGGCACTTCTCGGACATTTCGAAACACACCATAACATAATGGAAGACCAAGAAGGGGGGAAATATTATATGAATTCTTCCATGAGAGAGGTTATTCGAGGGACCCCATTCGGGGATTTCTGAAGAATGTCGTAACTCAACTAACTCAACAAAGTAAAGGCAACAGAAAAGAGTAGCACCGCCACAAATCATAAACTCTCGTGATATGGCTGCAGTGATGACTTATGAACACCCACTCAACATAGACTTAAAAGGTATTTCTCGGTTTACAAAATGGAAAGCGAGACTACAGGAACTATTCACCCAATCATGCACTAATAGCATCTCCTCAGTTTTGACGGAACGTTTGCAATTCAGTTATCTTGCTCAATGGACAGATTGATAGGCAGCTGAACAACCATCAGTGCTGAAGCCATCAGCCTCAAAATTAGCTTGAACATTGAAACTCATCGAACGTGATAGGTATTTTCTCAGGATGGGGTACTTTTCATCGACTGCTAGCTATACCATGTGTTTTTACCCGTTAGTATGGGTGGTGCATTACCTTTAGAAGATGAAGAGTGATGGAATATTCCAGAAGGCACGACTAGAAGGTTCGCAACAGCAACCGAAGCGACTTAGTTATTATTTAGTAATTAGACGAGTAGCAGTCTAAAATGAACAGCTAACATCTGAAACGAATATAATGATTCGCCCACTAAGATCAAAGGCAAAGAGAACCCAAATAATATTTAGTATAACGTGTCGACGTTAGTGGTTGGCACTTAATTTAAATTGCCTTCTGTCTAACCGAAATAGAAGGTTGACTGTGGCAATTACAACAAAAGTACCTTACACGAGTTAACTTAAGTATTCAACTTATCAATATAGCGAGCGAAATTCACGTCCAGGGTAATCAAGCAAAATGGAAACTCTCCAACCAAATATTTCTCATGGGTTGACCATTTTCGGTGTTCATACTTCCAACCTAAATGGGGTTTATAAAATTAGAGCGGATTTACAGGTTTGAGTCATCATGCTAAACTGCGGGAGCTGCACCGGAGCACCGGCGGTGGAATACGAAAATGGATCAGCTTGTGTGAACGAGTGCAATGCTCGCCTACAGTTGTTTCGTAAAACCCCATCGTGTCACTGTTTTCACATGCCAGCCTGACAGCCACAAACACCTTGTATATGTGCATCGTCTGACTTTCCTTACTAGCTTGGTCTAGTACTTTTGGATTGCCACTAGCAATGTCAGTATGTGAAAGTTGTAAAGGCGTGTCCTCGAAGGCAATTCCATCTGGAATCAAGCCAGACAAAATCTTAGGTACAACAATGACACTGCAAGAATGCTTACCTCTGCATGTGAGCGATCAATTGACACAGTTATGTGATGCTCGGAAATTGAATTTCCCGGGGAATCCTCGTCTGGTAGAGGTTTTCCCTTCAGGACAAGGAAGCAGAAATAATACTGTCAAAATACACTTTCAAAGAAATATTCGTCCTCATAAGAAGAAAAAAAGCCCAATATGTGCGTGTAAACGCTTCCAGTAAAGACGCAAATAATAAAGATAATACCGCCTCTCACAAGGTTTTTCAGTTTCATTTACCTACTTTTTTTATTGGCAGGTTCTTAGTCTCAAAATCTTAGTGAGAGAAGGAAACAAATTTGCTGGACATTCCAAGAGCTGACTTAAGTTAGATCGAAGTATTTCTGTTTATCCTAGAGTACGCTCCTCGTGGTCATCTGAAGGTTGTTGTCACCCCACTAAAGGGAACTAATGAGAAACTAAAATGGGATTTTTCTCCTGTGATGTGCATTAAATGTTAGTAGTCTCATACTGACAATTTGATTTGACCTGAATTTTCTGGCTAACAGATGCTATTATGTTGACTCGTCGGCCCAAGGATATTATCTAAATGATCCCGGTTAGCGACGTTTGTCAGACAAAATATGAACACACCAAAACCTTCAGGAAATTCCGGCTTTGAAAAATTCTATCTGAGAGTAATTTAAGTCTGGAACGTTGCTCGCAGCTTCACTTTTGTGGGTTTGGGCCAGATAGTCTTACTGATGCTGTCTGATGGCCACTTGTTGCATTCTTGTGTCAAAAATTCGTCGGGTAATAAAAAATGCACAAACAAAGTCGTCTGTTACGTTAATCAATTACCGGTGGTTAAACTTGGTCGTACTACATGGAAAACAAACGGTCGTTGTTGATCCTGCAGACGTTAGAGTGTACTGATGCTAGAATCCACAGTTCATTCACAAAAAATATTTCTTTCGTTGGCCGAAACCTGGAACTCCGCACTGTCTGAGCTGGTTGCACGACCGTGGATAGATCATTACCTGTCGTACGCCATGTCCACACCACGATTACGTGAAAATGCTAGACAAAGCATCAAGATTCCATCCGTCAACTAAGTCTCGGTTTGGTGATTCCACCTCCGCTTGGACCATGTGGCATTCAACTAGGATATTCTATCGTAGTGCGTCCACGCATCTACTACGAGAGAAAACCGTTTGAATCTTCTGAGGCCGTTATAGAACTGGAGGGTTGTACAGCTGGGTACAATCAGATTTTGGGACCCACAGAGCTCTGTTTATATGAAATCACATTATTGCACGACACTTGGACACCAGTGTTTGGAGTGAGCTTGGTGACACAATAACTGGGCGTGGAAGGCATTTTTCAAGTTGTTTCATCAAAAATAGTGTTCCAACATATTTAATACAAGAAAAATACTTGCTTTAAGAATACACACGTGTGTCAGAGATATCTGAAAAGCTGTGAAATGAAACCTATAAATGCTCACCACCAGACTGTAGCCGATATGTTAAGCGGATGAAGAACCTCCAGTGGGTCATTAGTCAGTGTGAACGAAATGGATGAAACACGGTCTGCTGGGCTTAGGGTGGTGATCAAAATGTAAGGTGTGGTGCCGTTGACAGGAAAATTCAGTCGGCTACTCTGCGGATGAAGCGCGCAGCAGAACAGAGAAAGCACCCCCTGATTTTGCATCAGAAAGTTAAAGTCTAAAGTAAAGTTCGATACATTATCGTCAAGTCTACTGATGAAAAGAGTTTGATCGCATTCTGTTGACTGCATAAACCATAACCCGGCGTTCTTTATAAACGATAAATTACATGTTAAATTAAGCGCACGCCCATCCAAAGGCTTACGCACCTCCCGACTAACCAGTTGTTTGCTCATGAAAACTTGGACATCGTAGAAGTAATATGCAGACGCTGAATTCAGACAATTCGCAGCTTATAACAGAATAAGTATTCATGATCATGTAAGCCTCGGGAGTCACTACACGAAACGGCATCATCCCAACCAGTCATTTCCGAGGAACCCAAAAAAATTCCGATGAAGTGATTCTGAATGCGAACAACGTTAGCCACTATATTTCTTGCCTACGTAAAGTAGTTTATATTGCAGTACACCAAAATTCGATGTACTGCTTGGCCATTAGACTACGATGAAAGAAACCTATAGGACCATGCGCCATCACGCTTAACCGGCCACTTATACCGCGAAGTGGGGACAAGCCGTAGTTCATCTGTGAAGGTCAAGCCAGAATATTGGGTAGTGTCGAAGAGAAAAATGGAGGAAAGTTATTGGGGTCATGGCTATCAATACGGTTGGAAGTCAGTAACGGACCTTACGGAGGAAGACCAAACGGTTTATTTGACAATAAGACCCTCGAGCCTCACCGAAGGAGACGGTAGTGTCACTTGACATAGTTACTCTGATTGCGATTCAAAATTAGAGAGGTTTGTTCCATCGTGATCAGATAGTATTTCTATCATTGGGGACACTTGCGAATCTTCATTCCCCTCCGGTGATAGCTTCCACTGGTAACATATCGGGCTAAGAAGTGCACCGGAAGTTTTGAGTAGGCAAGTCACTGTCTATTATTTTGGCTCACCATAGACAGCTTTCTACGGTTCAGTTGCGGGTTGCTCGGTCGGAAAAATTCAAAACATGGAGAAGATCCCTTGCTTTTTAATGAAATTACTACCAGCACGACAGTGAGTTTTTAAACATTACCCTGTGTCTGTGGTCACATGCCTCAAGTTTCCACGTAAGCATTCGTTAACAAGATAGTGATGTAGTGGGTACAAACAAATTTATGTGCCAAATCATTTGAAACAGCCGAATTTATTTGGCAGTAAAAAATCAAATCATGGAAAACTAACGTGACTGTGTTCCCGATCGACTGAAACAGTGGGATTTGTGGCAACAGTGAGACTGTTTCTTCCATTTTTGACGCAAGCTGATACTTGAACGTCCTGTGGAGTATAAATTCGAGTGTGAATATTATACGGCAATGAGTATTGTAACTGCAATGAATATATCAATTTATGGGAAGAACCCCCAAAGTCTAAAAACTGTCGAATTAATCCATCCAGTACGAAAGGATCATACTCATATTCCTTTGCTTTTCAGGTTACTGTGGAACAGAGCTCATGGAGATGAAGTACCATGAAATGCTTCGATCTATGTCATTGAAATAATCTTGAAATGGCGCAAAAATGCCGCTGGTAAATGCTCCCGTTCACATTTCTTAAGCAGACACCTGTTGCAATGCGCCTGAGAGCATAACCTATTGACCGGTAATGTGTGATCGATGCCTATAAAAGCTGTTGTATTTTATTTAAAAAAAAACTTATCTCGCATTCGTCATAGAGTCATCTTGTTAAGCAGGCGTACTTTAATTTAACACGTCAGTCCAACAGTCTGCCAGTTGCTCAAACTGAGTATCCTGGTGGAAGTAAAACATTTAAAAACACGCGTTTATTTCTCTCTAAAAATACAAACTCGGGGGATCACTCGTATGCATACGTGAGAACAGATCAAATAAGGATTGAACGGCTGGCTCACCTTGTGACCGGGTTCACCTAGCTTCATCATCAAGTCCAAAAAATCTTGATCGTCCTCCAGAACAGGTGAATAGAGGGCGTAATGTGGAGGCTCCTAAAACGATATATATATATATATATATATATATTTACACTACCCTATATTCCAGTAAAACCGGGTTTGTTTCAATTATATAACAGCGAACAGCAGTGACGCTTTTAAATAGAAAGTTGTACAGGCAAATCCGTTGTTAGTGAGCGCCACATTGTCACATTATATTTACTTGAGTTGACTAACTCCAGAAGCCATTGCGGTTATGTAAACAAGAACTTAAGGATGGAACACGACTAAATGAAGTTATATAACAGAGCAGTGACGCTTTTAAATAGAAAGTTGTACAGGCAAATCCGTTGTTAGTGAGCGCCACATTGTCACATTATATTTACTTGAGTTGACTAACTCCAGAAGCCATTGCGGTTATGTAAACAAGAACTTAAGGATGGAACACGACTAAATGAAGTCCTTATCTTCCTGACTTCGATGGGTGTGCTGTTTAAGTGTTGATTGGAGCATACATTTCAGCGTGTTTTGCAAAGGGTGAATATAAGTGAGGAGCATAAAATTCTGCGGCCCTTCAAGGTGCGAAATATAACTGACTAGGATGCAGTTGGTACTTGTATTGGTGGAAGAATAATTTTTAGTTACTAATGTCCTATATATTTAAAACTCGCTGGTTGTAGCTTGAGCTCACCGGATTTGCCACGTGTACCATGTAAAAACCTTGAATTGTGTGCACGTATATAATCTAGTTATGCCGAAAGTTGTAACTAGCTAACAACAAAATGGGTGCTTCTTCCACTGCTAAAGAAAATTAGTAGAGAGAAAAGGCACACTGATTTATGGTGAAAACTTTAGAATGGGTAGAATGCTTGAAGATCTGACTGACATCATTCAGATCATCAGACATTACCCACAATAACTGTTATCTTGGTGTCCGAAAGATATTTCATCATGCCAGTAAAGTCAAGCTGTGCTGTAAAGCCGTGGAGCCTTGTAGGGCTGTTTTATTCCTTTTTAAGAACCATCAGTGGTGCACACTGTCGGAACGAAATCTCTGTTGAAAATGGCCCAATCCGCCCACATCAACAACACTCAGAAGTAGCTCAGAGCGAAAACGATTTTACGTGATTGAAACTTCCATCTGAGAAGTCGTCACTTGGGATCCCATTCTATACTCCACAAGTTGATGTAGTTACCGTGCTTGAAGGGCGAGTGGCGCTACATTATATTTAAGAGGAGAACTATTTACACTGCTGATCAGCCGCTCGTAAACAAGCGTTATTTGACTGACCCCTGAACGGAAGGTAACCGTTCCAAAGCCCCAATATTCGTGGAATGTTCACAGTCGGTTATTCTCAGTGAGGAGAAAATAGCTTAATTGTGCTTATCGACTGTGTATCATTAAATTTGCTTTATTAACTGGATTAAATCACCAACGGAAATCAACAAACCTCGCAACTTCAAAAATACTCAGAGTTGATTGTCCCACAAAATTGTGATATGCAGTTTGCGATCCAAGATTTGTACATCATCTGTACTGCGAATACACGCATTGAAGCTCCTACCTGCGAATATCTGGCTGCAGTATATATATATATATACAACTGTCGTGATAAAAACCATAGAATATGTAATCATTTTTGCTTTCTCATAATTTGGCTCTAGTATTGCTGGCCAAGTTCTTCAGAAAGTCTAGTGCGTCTATTGTTAAAATTATGGATACAAAGCACACCGGAGCTTCTCCAAGCCCTTCCGCGAGGTTAACCTTGGATGTCAAAACCCCTAACTACTTTTAAGGCACATGCGGCGAAAACATTCGCACCTTATCTGGCTTCTTTTCCTTACAAGACCAGATGCACCACGGACAGAAGTGGCGTAAAAGGATGCCTAAGGCTAAGTGATCTTACTAGAACAAGATTGAATTTACTCTTGTAATTCCCCTGACTCTTCATATCTCTAGACCGCATCTTTCCAAATTCTGAAAGACCTTTTACGTCTATGTAAGAGTGTCGTTGATTCAAGCTGACCCGACCGAACATTTAGATTCACCGTCAACTTTTTTCCACTTCATAAACGTAACCAGAAGACAGCAATCATTGCAGATACTTTGAGACATGGATAAGTGCGCCATTCAGCAACTTTTATACATGCACTTTCTGAGTTCATCTCTTGCATCATGATGAGAAATCAGGGTGTCTTGATTAGGATCTTTAGCTAGAAGGAAAGAAAAAGGAAAATGACACCGGTTTTGCTGAGGTAGGTTGTAACAAAAGTTGCGTCACACTGGACTCTTTAAACGCATAGGTACACACTCCCTGTATTCCGATGCCAAAAATAAATGGAAACATTGTTCCCACACTTAAAAGAAATATTAAAATAATTCGGAAAAGCTTCTTTGTTTCTATCCTTTAGCCGCCACCGAAGTTAATCTACTCCTTATCATTGTGTGAATGCGTTGTTTGTTATACCCAGGAGGTGCATTGGCATGAGTAGGACGCGAAATGTTCCTAGATAGTTCTCTCATTGGTAGGAAAATTTGTGGGTTTTTAGGCAGGGTTTAAATCCTGACAACTCACGGGTAGAGTGGCACTACTGAAGCCTTCGGTCCGTCGGTTGACCAAACATACATCATTGTGGTCTTCTGCGGCGGCAACTGATCCAGTTAACTAAAAGGGGCAGTTTTTGTAGTCAACAATCGTGTAGTTAAGGTTTGATCAAAAGACTTACCAGGTTAAGAAACACTATGAACGCTAGTCTATTTGTAACATGAATAACGTATCAATCCACAATTTCGGCCTGATTGAGCATCAGAATCACGACATCAGTAGCTGAAAAGTCACCTAGCAAAGGTTTACCCTTGCCATCAATGAGCACTGACGACCCGTACCAAGGAGAAAACAGTGCCACGATGCTTCTCGACTTTTTAGTGATGATTGGATTGGCTTGAAGAGTGAATTCTTCATTTTAAATTGTTGCTTTCATTGGAGGCTATTGACCTCCCCAATAAACATACCATACGGATTACGCTTCACTGCAAGTTACAGGCACCTTTTTTTCAATACCAAGTATTTTTTGTTTCAAGTGGATGGTAAACACCGTCGTAATCTTGCGCACTGACCGAGAGTGGCAGTGTAAAATACTGACGTTCCAGGGTTTAGCTTAGTTAAAAAATAACCACGCACTCTATGTAGAATTCGCATTCGTCTAAACTTCTTCCTGAACGTTTGGTAAATAGCACGCCTTCAGGCACACAGATGATGAAAGACCCAACAAGCAAAAAATGGCTGCTTTCTATACTGTATGTAGCACTAATATGTGAGTTCATTGTGGAAAATAATGTAGTATGTCACACGTAAATGCAGAAAAAATGAGGGTATATGAAGGTGTAGTCTCCAGGCAGCTAGCTGCTCTGGTGAAATCAGAAGATCCGGAATGAAAGATGAATTTCGTCATGGGACTCTCCAGCCAAGTAATGTTCTATTCAAACTTTTGAAGCCTGCCCCGATTATACTCAGATGCTTTCGTAGACGATATAAGCATTTTCCTCAAACTCTCACGTTGGAAACACGAGGTACACACCTGCAAACACATTAATCCATATTCATATATATACTTATATAATCATGGCCTATCGATTGCATTTATGCACGCTCATCATCCGATAAATTCTCCCACTTAATTTGAGATTCTATCAGCAAATCAAAGTTTAAAATGTATCGTTGTTGCGTATCAGACCCAAAACGAGATGAATTCTGACCATCAATGCAATCAGTGGTCTCGGGTTTTTTTTCAGGCCCATGTTCCATACTCTGGGCAGCTTTAGGAGGTACTAGTGGCTTAACTTTTTGGAAACAAATAAGCGTCCAAAACATGTGCTTGAAGGACTGCAGCCAGCCACGAAGAGTATAGGACTAAAAATATTTTAGACAGAATTATGGAAGATGCGAGATGTTTCAGTGGATAGACCGCAGATTTACTAACCGGAAGGTTAGTAGTTCGAACCCGACATCTGCCTCTCGGCTTCTCCTGTCTAGGCTTGGCATCCTGGCATTATCCCGACCCTCGTGCTTCTTTCAGAAAGGGCCTTACAGCTGAATGGTTATGGTTAAAAATTGTGGAATTCAAATACCATGAACCACGAATGAAGCGGATGTGCGTCAAGGATTCTCCGTAAAACAGGCGGATTTTGTGAAATTATTTGCACTTTTTTACTACTGTGCAGTCATTGCATCCGAAACGGGTCCATGTTATCTGAAGGATCTATGGCTTTTGGTCGTAATGCATTTCTCACTCACCCTTACATAATCATTAATCAGAGCGCCTGGTCGCTTGATGATACACAATAGCAGTGCGCCACATAACGCAACTAGTGTAATACACGCGATCACTGGCAAGGTGTTCTTCTGTTATTTACCCCAGCCTGTTGTTTACACTTGACAGTATATCCACCAGCAATGCTACAAAACCTCCTGACACGCATGCTTACATTACGCACTTCCTTATTTGTGAGGTGTATACTTGTCAGGTGACGGCGTCTACCAGAACGCTCATGAGTTATACCTGCACATTATCCAACAGCCATTCTGCTTATGATACTTTGTATTCATACCTGTCTGGTGGCGAACCAGGTGTACACAGATCATCCTCACTACCTAACTTGACAGCATGGCATCACATCTAGACTCAGATCACAAATCGAGTGACACCATGTCAAACTATACCAGACTGTGTCAGAGCTGGCAGCTTGCCTCAATCGATCAGAAAAACTATGGTAAAGCGCATCTGCTGAAACGGCTGTCCTTTATCAACTATTTTTCCACATTATAATTTTTTATTCAAAGACAAGACGAAATTATGTAACCCCAATGAGTAGCCAATGCTGGAACAGGACTTTTCTTCGCGAAGGCTGCACGCAAGTTTTTAATTCATTGCTTACTGGGCCCAACATAATTGGGCCACTACTGTAGCAAAGATCAGGATAGAATGTTAGGACTGTTCAAGCTCCCTTGTCTGGCGCTGCCTTCGTTCATGTTATCCATCTTGGTCAAAAAACATATATCCGATGAGCATAAGCCTTAATAAGTCCGGTTAGTTCTCCCACACCGCAATGACATTTCAGCGCCACTGGTAAACTGCTGATGCCAAATGTGCCTTTGATAAATATTTGTGTAGCCTGGCCTGAGAGCTGCATACCGATGTCATCCGCCCTACACAAAATGCTCTGAATGTCAAGTGCGCCAATCCAAACAGTTCTGACAAAGTTGGTCAGATCAGGCAGTACGAAGCATACAAATGGAACAACAGAGCATCAAGCTAGTTACATAGAGCACTAAAATACGTAAGGAATGTCATGGGATGTGACGATACATCACTGAGGTTTATAAATTACAAAACAAAATGTTGCAGTTTTCAAGCAAAAAACTGTTTTTGAGGACGACGTCCTTTGGTCGTATGGTTTTTCCCACTTGTATCGAAGGTTACTATGTGACCTAGGATGGAAATCCTAATGCTTGGCAACCTGACAGTCTTTTGGAAGTCTTCTGACTTCTAAAACACCCAGAGGAGCAAGATATTCACACCTTTTAAATTCAACTAACCGAAGAGAGCGCAGTGTAACACGGGGTAAGTGCAAACCATGAGCAAACGTTCAATCTCCCAAAGTCAACAACATAAACGAGGTCGTCCAGCTGCAAAATGGGGAGCTTGCTTAGTCCAGGTAGCTTCTCATATCCTTTGTTGTTTCCAAAAGCGTGTATAGGTTCCAAACACAAAGGTGTGAAGGATTCACAGTTACTAGATGTACTATATGCCCCTCATCGTCATGTCATGACTCGTTATCCAAAAAACAGTGGTATTGTCTCGTGTGTAATGCATGCCTAACCAACTAACACTAGGTGGATTCTGTTTGCCGATCTAACAGTTGTGTTTCTTTATCGAGTACTTATCTACACGCTAATTCGCTGTCTTGCTGCATCTATCTCTCTCCTGCTTCGCAAACAGAGTAGTGAAGTTGTTTAGATCCCTTTGACAGAATTAAATACTCCTCATCCGTAAAGGGGAGCTTTTAATAGGGTTATTTTTCACCGGCCTCCTGTCCTTTAGCCTCCATGAAATTCTCTTCTGATGGCTCAAATAACAGTGTAGCAAAAAAGTGCTCGCAATGTGGTGATGACTTCTTCTACAGTACAGTCACCAAGACGTAAAGTGATCACAGGACTCAAGCATCCAAGTTAGCCTTTTAAAAAATGCAAGACCGTTAAATTCTGAATGCACATTGAAGTGGAAAAAACAAACCGAAGTCAAGAACAACTGGTGATACTCCATTTGCAGTGGGAGTCCATTGATCGCCGAATAGCGGAAAAATTTCTTACATAAGGTTTATATTCATCAACATTTACTTGACAGCTGTCCCTAATCCTCGATTTCTTATCACTTGGGGAATGGTTCAGTCAGAGACAAAATCAAACAGAAAGGAAAATAAACGACAAATCTGGTGAAGCCATTTGGTTTTGGGGAGAAGTCTGAATAGTTTCACACAAACTCAAACCATTCGAAATTGAGACAACCTTTTGGGGGTATTCTTCTCCGTCCAGTTACATTTAATAGACTTAATGAACTTATCCCATCAGCAGATTCAAGGATCGACTGGAGTCACAGGAAGAAGTGTTGTCCGCCTGAATGACTCTCCTCAGCCACTTGATGAACTATGCAGGTATGGTCAGTAAGTCTACGCCTGGTTAAAATCCAGTCAGCATCACTAGAACTTAGGTCAAGCGTGCCGGACTTGGACGATGTGGCCGGCCAGCAGCTGTGTTTTTTACATAAGACTCATATTACCTCGAGTGTAAAGATTGTTTCGGATAGTCCTTCAAATGAAGATGTGAAAGTTAATTCGCCCAGCTATATAAAAACTAAAACTTTAAACTAAGTTTGAAGAAATTAGTCAAACCAAACTACAAATATTTACCGTTACTTTTGAAAAACGCCTTTAGAATCTCTGCTAGCCAGGCATTCAGAAAAACACAGTAGATAAAACAAAAAGAAATTAGTTGGAGTGAGCGTAATGGTTGGCATATCAGCACAGAGATGAGAGCCTTTCGAAGATATTCCCTTCAGGTTTCCTAACGCTGATATCAGTGAACATTGGACTTTTATTATTAAACCTTTTGTCAACACACAAGTAAACGATCTTTTGATTCATGCTTCGCACATTAGATGAATCAGTGTAAACACCTTCTCGATTGTGCTGGTACTTCCCACCTCTTGGTTTTTGTTTTGTCACAAGGCCTCTGTATCAATGCGTAAAAGATGCTTATGATTGTCATTACATTTAGCACCAAAATAAATGAGCCACAAATGATGGAACACCCGATTTGTTTGCTGAAACCTTGAGCTTACATGACTGAAGCTACACTTAATGTGAAGAGTAAAATGGTGGTTAGTTCTCAGTAGGTGTGTTCCGCTGAGCATCAGTGTTTCGATCAACGCAGACATACGAAAGGGAGCAGTTGTATAGTACAGAGTCGACAATGCGCGCAATAACCGTATCTCGCCGAATTTGGGTGAAGCCGTTGCAAGCCAACTGTTTAAGTGAGCCGACAAATCAATCGTCACCCAATAAACGAGTAATCAACATACGACAAAATCATCTTCTAACGCATTACCAAGGAAGTTAGGAAATGGATTAGGTGATGCATGTTTCCCGCTATCTGTCCTGCTGCATTCAGACATTCTTAAGGCATGAGCACACCTTGGTCTGCTTATTCCATACAGGTTGTGATAACTCCAAGGCTACAAAAATTGAACCGAAGGGATTCTTAAGTCTTTACCCGGAGCTTTTGTCTCAAAAGCTTGGCCACGATACCACAGTGGTCGTTGCAAGACCAGCCCTTCAAGGAAGAGGTCGTTCCATGGATTACAGCCTACGACAGAAACTGTCAGATTTTGCCGGAGTGAAAGAAAAAAGACCACCGATTTGATATACATAAAACAGGGTCTTGCAGATCAAGAACAAAACAGCCAACGCAGAAGGATGTAAGAAATACGACCAACAATACAAGCGTGGAAATGAAAGTAAACTAGAAAATGACCTGTAGCGGACTGGATATAAGTCCAAAGAGGGGGTATTGAGTTAAGCAAAAAGCAGTGAGAACCTGCCCCAGTAAAAGTTGTCCTCAAGGTCAATATTTGAAAGCACTACGACGACCCGCCTACGATCATCTTCAATGAAAGTAGTGAAGAGCTTTGTAGTAAAGCGTGTGATCTGAACGCACAGCATGTATCCCTCGGCTGGCAAGCTTCATAATGTGCCACTGCAATCAGCTGAGTGAATCCGAGAATTACTGGGCAATACAGTATGCAACCTGGTGTAATTTATATTTGTGGAACTTTTTGAGGGCGGGGAACCAAGAACAGATAACTGGACATCAGCGGAGTTTTAGTCCGATCTACTGAGTCAAACGACCTCAAGTCTAGATAATCAAATTACCCAGCTTGATCAAAACTTACATGTGTGTCGCAATACGTGCAATCCATGGCGGCACATTTTATTTCCATGGAGCCTTTACACCCTTAAACTGTCTTATGCACGGCTATTTCTTCCGGTGAAATCACTCATCAAGATTAGTTAGAGATACGCCCAATTAAACCGTGTACTTAATGGGCTAACATGCAGATGGTTGTCACAGGATGCAGTGAATGTCTGGGCATCGAACCAACTGCTGAAAGGAAGTTATATTGTTCCAAAAACAGCCTTCATGTTGCAAGTGATTCAGTTAGAGTAGTACGTGCGAAGTATGCCACGAGATCTCATAGATTTGTCAATGCCTTTTTGTATTTTCAGTACCTTAAGAGTCCACAGAATCTTTGCTTGAAAGTATCGAGGACAACGGGTGGATGGTAAAAGCTTACCGGCATTTCTCCTGATTCATTCTGGATTGTAGAATATTCTCTTCTTATCGGATCAGCTTGGGTCCCCGGTGTTATATCACTATGCTCCTGGAAAGAAACAGCATATAATAAGTCGCTTATACATAATCAACTGCAGTCATCATCATCATCATCGACAGTATGACATCAATGTTCAACACCTATGCTTCGCTGCCGTAACTGCAGTCATCACAACTAAATGTGCAAATTCTCGCTCCTACCATGCTGGTCAGCTTTCTTCATTTCCCGTACCTACAAGTATAATGCCTGTAGGTTTGCTTACTAGCACTCCTAGTTTTAGCACTTGACAAATTTACGGGTGATTGGGGGCTGGTTAACGCCATATTTTAGGTGATTTTCTACCATGTGGTCGCAGAGTAACCTTACGCACCTAAATTATTAACTTTTAAAGGTGGAAATATCCTTCAAATCGGTAAGATTCTGTGTAGCTGTGCACATTTGTCAATAACATAGCGGCAGTTACTCACCTTATCAACCGTAGCTGTCTTTTCCATCACTGTTGCAATTCCGTCAAACTTCTGGGGCTTATCCTTGTTTTTGTGGTTGATTTTGGAAGGATGTTCAAAAAATATACGTGATAATCATTAACGACGTTATTTTTGGAGAGCAAACTGGCTCCTCTCACTTGTCCAATGGACGTAACAAACCACAGTTAGGAGCAAATAGTAGCTTATAATGCTAGAGGAGGCAGCTGAAAATCGGCCCGGGCGCACCCAGTGTTGTTGGTAGTATGAAGACTTATCCTGTCTGGAAGCATTCCCCGAATCCTTCTGAGATTAAATAAGAATGATAAAATCAAAAGCGAATTGAAGCTTCAGCTACTAGCCTCCTCGTATAAAGAGGCTGAAAATTCCATCAGACTCTTGCAAACATGAGGGTTAGGTCTGTTTGTATGATAAAACTGTTTCTCCATGGTTCACGGCACTACAGAGAGCAAGATATATTTCACGGTGCCTATAGTTTCTCCTTCGAATGTAGAGCAAAAACGACATCACAAATGGGAGATTAAGGTGGGTTCCGGATGAGACTCCTACGAAAGCGAAATTGGCATGCAAATAAGTATATTTGTCGTAAATCAAAACTAGATGTTGGTGGTTGCGGAATTTGTAGGATTCATGTTCACGTCACTCTCTTTTGAACAGTCGTCCTTCTGTCCTGGCGCAATTATTCTGATGAGTCAACACCAAATAGATGAGGAAGAGGGACAGAGAGAGCGAGGAGCAGGGGGAGGTGAGGATGGGAGAGAGGAGGGGGAGGAGGGAGAGAATGAGAGGAAAGGAGACAACAGGGCAGAGGACGAGCGTTCAAACGAGAGTGGTGGGAAAGTAGAATCCACAAATAACTTAATCACCAACACCTAATCAAAAATTGTCCAGGTTTCAAAAAGTCCAAGTGAGAAGTCCTGACAGGCGGGGTCAGTCAATCGGTAAAACCAGAACTGTAACTGGGTCATCGTCTAAGACGTCGAGAATACCAATCAATTCGCTCAAGCATGAGCGCATTAAAATGTTTAAACGTATAAACTCAGATGTGCGCATCGTGCGATAATAAAGAAGTGGTGAGACGCTCACCTCGCATGTCGGACATCTGGAGTGCAGAACCCGGCCAGATCAGCGATATGCACCGCTGATGAGCTGATGATGATGATAATGACAAGAACTTGAGCCCGGTGATCATCCTTTTGGTGTGCGCTTATCGGAATAATTGCACCCGAAATAGAAGGAAAACTCTTCAAACGAGATTGATGTGCACGCACATCAAAATTTTCCGATCTTTCGACTCAAATGATGATGTAAGGTATGGCAGTGACCATTAAATTCTTGAGTTTCAGCCAAGGTTCCCATCGTATTCTAAATGCGCTAAATGACTGCTCCATGGGAAAAATATTGTCAGAGTGTCTGTTCTGAAGCAAATATAGAGTTGCACCAGAACCAGAAAGAATTCGTGCATAACGCCAGCCCTTTTATTTAAAAGTGTATTGTCCAAACCAACCGGCCAACAGGCAGAACAAGTAGAGACTACTCCAAGAAAACTTGCGCAGCTCAGTAAAACCGATGAAGCTGAGGTGCTTCACACCACAATTTCCACCGAAACCAGAAAAGCTGCAATCGCTTTCGTGAACGCCTTCAAGGGTTAAACTCCAGGTAAGATGAAAGAAAATGTGGGAAATTTGGCCTAAATGATACCCCTGAGTCATCATTTTCAACCTGGCAACGGATTACTTGAGCTGAATAGATCCTCCGTTCTGACGTTGGCTACTGGCATGAAAGTGATTTTTTACATAGTGGTAGATAAAATTCTAAACAGCCCTTAAAAATAGAGCTGCTATATTATAGACAGGTACTACGTCCCCCAGGTTTAAGTAGGTCGGAGATTAGCCCGAGAATACGATACCTGTTCTAATAGTCATGGTCCAACAGAAAGTCGTTCTTCGAAATGGACGGTCCATTAAAGGGAAAGGCTGTTGAACTTCGAATTATGCAGCGGTTGAATACTGGGTCGATAAGACTCACGCCGAAGTCGTATTATCCCCCTATCTAGTAGCTGTTTGCAAGCCATCAGGAGAAAAACAAGATACCTTAATTTTTCAATATTTAGCCTTTACAGTCTGAGTGGGTACGCTGAATGCCTGAATACCCCGGGGAAAACAGCTAGCTCATCACGTATAACTAAGCGTTGGGAAGCAGATGACTCAGTCTTAACCATTTGCTACTGGGAGGTAACACAACTGATTGCTAGACTTTCTTCTTAACGGCGGTATTCACACAAAAGTTCGGGGTATGTGATACCACGTAAACTTGGTTCAAAAACCTCCCTGCAGAAAGCAAGTTATGTGAATCATCAGTTCGACAATGTATCAGATGCACACTGTTCCATGTCGTTAAACGGAAACGCGTCAATAATACCACTGTGCTTGACAACGAGAATTCGTGTGGAGAACTGAAAGATGACATAAAACCTTAGAAACAGATAGTGGATGTTAAGGAAGTACCGAAACACTTCTTTGTGCTCTATTTAAACACCAGAAAATTGTAAACAGAAATGACGGTGGAAACTGAACATCCCGTCTTGTTTACTCAGGTAAGGTGGGGTCTTCTCGTACATTTTCATTCTTATTATACTGTATTACTGTCTAGCATATCTTCGGAGTCTGTTCAGCTGGGTGTATCATAGCCATTTGGTTAACGTGGTTGGAACAGAAAACGAGGACGGGTCAGTTCAACTTCATAACTTTCGTCAATGTTTCCGAAGTTTCCCTCTTCTATCAGTCCAAAAGATGTATGGTTGTTTGACCAATATAAAATAGACAGCAGCGCTTCGGCCAGAAAATCCAAAGACACTTAGCTTTTCTATTTTTTTCTGGTCAAACATTTCTACTCTGCACAAACATGAGCAAAGTTGTTATGGGGGGGGCTAAGAGAAGTTTTTCAAAACTGTATAACACTGTCGTGTGTGCATCCTAAAAGTGACATTGATCACTGAAGGATTGCAGCATACTGAATTTTTGTGTTTCGACAACGAATGTCGAGTGATACGGACCCAGAAAGAGGTAAAAAGAAATATTTGTGACTAACTTACTATTTCGTTGATATCTAATTGTAAAATTACAACAAAAATCATTTCTTAGCAAAGGGTCATTATGTCTAGATATAAAATTTTCCGACCGATCCCGAGTAAGGTCGACATCCAGTCATCTTCAAAATCTTAAGTAAAAATGATCATGAGGATTGTGGATGAGTTTTGCAGCAGCCTTATGAGTAGTCTTCTCTATGAAAATATACTGTGATACCTGGAATATTGTAACAAATGAAATATATGGTGACCTTTGTGCGGCACATTCGTTTCAGTCTCCTGTGAAAAACAAACTGGTTTGGAAATCAGTGTATATGTCAAAATGGAAATAAGTTTTTAGTAAGTTTTCCGGACTCCTTAACGCCTCGGGTTCTGTTTCAAAGTATAAGGATTTGTCTAAAATTTTGATTCTTGGTGTTGCGAGGGGGTGCCCGCTAGGTTATTCTCTTACAGGCTTCTTCACCATTGAGATCTAAAAAATTACCGCTAGGTTCGATGGTCCAATACTTCACACTCTATTATCAATATGTACACAAAAACCTTGTGACAACGCAAGATGATGTCACTTGAACGTCATTTGCGAAATTCGTTTCAAACTTCAATGGTTTTGTTCCACTAAAACAGAAGTAAAACTTAGTGTGAGAGTTATTCCCAAATAGTGCTAAAATGGCAAAAATTTCAAGTGCTTATCGTAAATGGCTACGCGTAACGGCTTTCTGTTAATCATGCAGTCTGTGAAACTACGACCCGTATGTTGGTCTGCGGATAAGAAGCAGGCCCACATCGATCTTCTGCTTAAATGAGGATTAATTGCTTGTTTGGTTGCCAGAAGGCTAAAAAACATGAATGTTCTCATCTAGAAAGTCGCTAATCCAAGTTCAATCATTAGCTGATTCCCTACCATCAGATTTCAACTGTAAAACAGGCCGAAAAATTCTGGCACCAGTTTTTGCCTGCATCCATTCGTTTGCTGGTGTCAAACATTGTGTGTGTATGGGCACGAGAATATCGAATTTTCGAAGCCATTAAAAGCCGAACAGAGTGTCACGTGTCAAATCAATGCCTTGTTATGACTTTTATTAGCATTTGGGCAGCAACACTTAGAGCCTGCTTTCCTCATTATTTGAAGTCCCCAGGTTGTTTTTTCGGAATAATAGTTTAAAATTGTATGCCCATGAAAAGTATCACGTTTAATATGGCATCATTCCTCCACTGAAATTCTGATAATTTCACCATACTTACAGATAGCCCTATTAACTTTGATTTTGGTAGCACTTGAAGTGAATCCTGTGAAACTCAAATAACACAATTTTTTGATTGTATTTCACTTGCTGTCCAAATTTCAGACGTCCAGTGATAAAAACTGTTTATTCGGTGTATACTTTATGCAAGTATTTTTAAAAACAACATTGAGGGTAGAAAAAGAAAAAAACCAAAAGGTAACCTCCACTTAGTGATGTATGGCAAAAGTTCGTCATATTAATTATAGGGTTTTAAACATCGTCTGCTGTCTCCTGAACTTTCCCTGGCTGTTGCTCAGAAAAGTTTTATTAATTCTGAAGGTTCTGGTAAGGTTAGCGACATCTCATTGGAACAAAAATATTAGTCGGCACCTTAATTGTAACGCAAGACCTGATCACAGAAATATCAAGCAGTATCTGTATTTTGATGACCAGATGGTTAAGCAACAGACTGGAAATCGCTGCATGTGAAGATGCGAAGGTTGATATTTATGACCACATTGTTGTACATCACCGAAAGACCAGTGCTTTCATGTTGTTCCGAGAGATGACATCTGATAGTCACAAGATAATCACATCATGCATCAAAATCGAAGCCTGATATGTGGATTAGAAACCTATCGACTTGCCGCTTACATGAGCACTGTATGAGCTTAGGTGAATTCGTGTTGACTTCAACTAGATTTGACAGACAGCGTACCTAATTTAACCAACGTCCTCAGTGTAAGGTATCTATTCCAGCAACTCGATATCTTTTTACTCGATTCCTTGTGTATTCGGAACTC